AGAGAGAGAGAGAGAGGAAGAGAGAGAGATAGGAAAGCGAGCCACGATACGTTCGAACAATCCTGTTAATACGCATATTAACGCGCTGCCTCAAATTTTTATGAAACTCATCAATGATTTTTCGTACATATCTGTTTCGTCATACTGATATAGCGATATATTTGTCTCCTTCATTTATTTAAGCTTTGAAAATGAATTTTATACACGATATAGTATATCCTTGACAATTCGTTGACTTTTTTAACACTGTTCATCATCCTCACTTTTCTAGTCATATTGATATTATAGAAATATAATACAAATGTTACGTGATCTCCGAGAAAATGAGAGTTCCTTGAAAAGAGAAGAGTAGGCCGAAGGATAGTCCAAAGATGATAAAAGAGGGAGAGAAAGAGAGAGAGAAAAAAAAGATAATTTTAATCGCAAGCTTTAGTTTCGATTAGATTGATTCTTTTGGTTGTAAATTAATGTACATCTGTTTTTTCATATTTTTTTATACATATGTATATATTTTTTTAATCTATACAATATATTTTAATACACGTGTATTATATTTATATCTAACGCAGACACACTCTATTCGAAAGGAACATTTGCGCATCATCGTGAGGAAAAATGGCTTCGAATAGTTTTATAGAAGACTATCGAGGGGAATATTTTTACGGTGAAAAATTTGTCGAGCATTTGATTTCGTTTCGAAAAAAATGAAGCCAATTCATCAATTTTCAATTTTCAAATGGATATAACTTACAGCGGGACCTGATTCATTTTTATAAGCATTCACTTGTCCTTCGAATAATTAACGCTTGCACTTTAAGTACCTGACTCGTTTTTAGATGTTCTTTTACTCGTGATAATCTTCGACAAAATTTTTATAAATATCACGATCAATGCAGTATCGATCATGCAGTCACAAATATTAAATTTCTATTAAAGTTCTGACAATCGAAGAACATTATTTAATTTTTTTTTTTTGTAATATTTTTATTTTCACAACGATATCGCAATATATCTTTTTACTTATCGAGATATTCGTTCTTTTTTTATATTTTGATTATTTCTCGTGTTTAAAAAAGACAATAACGAATTGCTTCTCCTATTGCTTTTTTCCACAACTTTGAAAATAACTTTTCGATACAAACTTGACTGCACGATCTTTTCCAAGAGTACATTCAAATAAACAAAAAGGATATATCAAATTTATTTATCTCATCTACGAAATATAAAAAAATTTCCATAATACCATAATTTTCTATTCCCTCTGTACACGCGTTACATACCTCATAACATTAATATTTTATTTCCACATCGCTCCATCCCCTCCCCACATTATAGAGGACAAAGTAGCAACGTAAAAGTATAAGAATCTACGCACGTCTAAGTGAAAAAAAAAAAAAAATGAAAAAAGAAAAAAAATAACGAACGAGACGTCTAGTCAAGCTCTATCATCGATGTATGTTTAGAGACGCGCTTCAAGTAACGAGATATATATGTATAAAATTTTATACGAACACGACACTAAACTCGTCCATAATCGAGCAAAGCAGCATTCTAACCGATCGAGAGATCTTCATCGTAGATCAAGAAAAAAGAAAAAAAAAAAAAGGAAAGGAAAAAAACAAAAAACAAATTCTCGAAATCACGCAGTGAAGTAAGAGTTATAAAGTAAAGATTAACTTGTTACAGATTCTAGTATTTAATAATAATGATAATGATAAAGATACAAGAAACAACAGTATTATTTCCATGTTCCCATCGATCGCGTTGAATTGAAACGAGGGCTACTCAACGCGAGCTATCATTCTAGTCTTCATACGTACTGTGAAGATTCGTTTTTAATTAATTCGTTAACGAGAACGAAATGCAGGCAATATATATTACATGTACATATATATATCCTCTTGGTTAATCGATGATCCGATCTGGAGGATCGATCCAAGATTTTATTTATGCGCGAAACGAAAAACTAAACGAAACGAGAAATGTTTATCGGCGCGCGAATTCATTCATGCTACTCAGAATTCGTATTTAGTAAATACATACATACATACATACATACATACATACATACATACATATATATATATATAAAATATTGATACTGGTGAGAAGAAGAAAAAGAAGAGAGGAGGGAGATAGAGAGGAAAAAATGTAGATGATCGATGTTACTTTTACAATCATAACAATACGCCTCCCTGTCCCTCGACTATTATAATACTGCGAGTATATATATTAATTACAGAGTAGATTATAAAGATATATGAGACCAAGGAGTGTCGATCATTTTTTCGATGTTACGTCGTTCCGATTGTTTAAAGGAGAGACAGCGCATCTGGATCGGTTTCGATCGATTCCTTCCAATCGGAATCTTTTGCCTAATTTTCATGGTATAACTCTATGTACGATAGACGGGCGGTAAATTAGAGAAGAGAGAGAGAGAGAGAGAGAGAGAGAGAAGGTGATAAATAAAAATCTACCTACCACGGAGGAGGGACGCCACGAATAAATATATTATCCTTTGTCTTCCATGCATAATCATCCTAACGAATCTCATAGTTTCAACGAACCATGGACTGACAGTTTTGAAAAGCGATGATCTTTCTCCGATTCTAGAATTTTCTAGAAATTTTCTGAAATGATTCTGGAAGCGGCAAAGTGTCTGACGAAAAACTTGTCGAGTATGATATTTTGGTTTAATCGAAGAATTAAAAAAAAAAAAAAATGGAACGAAATATTTTAGAGATTCGAATCCGATTCTCGAGTCGGGATGCCGTTTCCAGAATTACAAAAATGATGGTTTTAGACGAATTTCGTGGCGTCTCTGTGCTCCTCGATATATATTTTTGGACACCACTTCCTTCATCCATGTTCCATTACCCCTTTTTTCGAATATATCTAACAATATATATATTCTCGAAGCAAAATTCCACGATTTAATGGAGAAATAAGAGAAGAGTTTATGCGTAAACTTTATATTTAAATTTTATTTTATTTTTCAAAGCAACACTTCATATTATTCATTTATTCTCTTTATTAGCAAATTTTGATTTTACATGTACGAAAATCCACGTTTCGATTGATCTAAATTATATCGAAAAATTGGTTAACAAATATCGTTTTGACGAGATTTTTTTTTTTTTTAAAAACTATTAAACGCAAAATTGAACGCTCTATAACTCTCTATAACATATCTATTCAAAAATCGTGAAAAATCTTCTACTATCGTATAATTTTCTACAATGTATAATCGTACGATAATTCACGGAACAATTAAAAGTGAAAAAAAATTAAATATCAATTATACGTAATCAAAATAAAATGAAAAGAAAACTCCAAAAGTACAATGTCTCGTATAAATAATTACGCAATTACAAATATCTTCGATAAGTCTTTAGACGCAACATTTGTGCATCTGTCAATTCAACATTGATTTCATTCATTTCGATAGATAGAAACTTTATTAAAGAGATAGGGAAGCATAAGCATCGCGGTCAATGCAAGACTTTTTATGCGAACAAAGAGATACGCGATGAAAATCGCATTTGCGCATCAAAAAAAAGAAAAAAGAAATGGAAAAAAAAGAAAAAAAAAAGAAAAAGAGAAAAACAAGTATTTACGCGATGTACAGCAAACTATCGTTGGAACATTCTGTAAATATAGGAGGCAACACAACAAAGGGCTACTAATAACGATAACTAATTGTTGTAGTTTATTTCGATGCTCCTTGAGTCTCGGATAAAACCCCCGCATCGAGAGTATCATCGATTAATACGAACGTCTTTCGAATGTTAGAGAAAAGAGATACTAAAAGCGGTTAGATACTCGAACCAAGCTACTATTTATTATTCAACAACTTTTCACAGGCATTCGCGTCGCTACGAATGCGCAATATTTAAAATTTCCCTTAGATCCCGTTGATCTTCGAGTTAAAAAAAGAAAAAAAAACTTCGAAACTTTGTTCGAAGTTTTCAAATTAAATTTCGGAAAGTATCGAATTAAATGATGAAACCATTATAAAGAAAATTTCGCGTGGGATGAAATTTTTATTAATTTCACTTGCGAAAGATTCGATCCTTCGAAAGATTGATAAATGAAATCATGGCCAAGGAAAGATTTTTTTTTCGTGAAAATCTTTCTTCCATAAGATGTTAACGGTTGAATCAAAATACAAAATTTATAATCGTTTTTTCCTCCTCTATGAAAGATTATTCAAAATGATTCCATTCGATTAATCCCTTGTTTCGTAACGACGCGCATGCACAGAAGTCCCTTCTTTACGGCTGATTCCGGAAGATTTGTTGAGAATATTTATAAGACGGAAGCTAC